ATGAAGTGTTTTAGTGAATTGGGTTTATCTTTTTTGGAGTTGGTAGCACTTGTCGGATATTTTTATTCCATCAAATAGTGATTTTTTTTGGACTGTTATTCTTTAAATATTCTTTCTGTCCTTTTACTTCTCTTTCTCCTTTAAGAATCCTATATTAAGTATGCTTGATTGTGCCCCACTCTTATTTTAGGATCACAGCATCTTTCTTCACTTTTTAAAAATTCTTTTCTTAGGTTTGGTTAATTTCAAAGGACAAATCTTCAAGTTGTCATAAACTTGAGATGAAGTTAAGTGAGATCATAATCATTGTTTAAACATCTGATTTATCTTATATGAAAAATACAAAATGCATTTTAAGAGAAACTCAAAATAAAACTAGTTTGTAGACAAAAATAAAAGGTAGAAAATAGGAACTAGAGAGGTAAATATGTTGCAAAAAGGGAGGGGACCAAGATATTCAGAGAGTGGGAAGAGCAGGCAGGAAAAAAGAACAGAATGCATTATGTACATATACCAACTTCCATTAATAAATGTGATCATTATGTAATGCCAACATGTACTAATAAAAAAGCAAAATAAAAAGAAAGAATGTGCGCATACACACATATACACGTGCTTGCACACAGACTATGCTGAACTGCTCTAGTAAATTTTTCACATTAGTTGTTTTATTCTTTAGCTCTAGAATTTCCATTTAGGTGCTTTCTCTGTCTCTTTCTTGATACCACCTTGCTAGCACATTGTTTCCCTGATTTTCTTTGTTTACTATTCTCTATGTTACTCATTAATTCTTCGAGCATATTTATATTGACTTGATTCACCTTAAGTCTAGATCTCCACAGGTATGGTTTACTGTCAATTATTTTCTTATAATCAAGCAGTATTTTCTTGTTTCACAGTATTTGTTTGAAAACCAGAATTTTGGTTATTTTATTGTGGTAATTCTGGAAATCAGATATAATTCTGTGCCTGAAGTTTGCTGTTGTCATTTTCTGTTGGCTAAAGTTGTCTATTTGTTTTTGATTTTTGCAAACTATGCTGAGAAGACTGCATTTCTAGTCATGTGTCATGCATGAAATCTCTGTTCCTTCTCCTAGTAGTTAACTAGTAATTATCAGAGATTTTCTTAAATACTAAAATTTAGCACATGCTTTGTTAATTCAATTTTCTTTTGGTATTGTAAGTTTTTTTTATTAGCTTTCAGAGTCTCAAAAGAGTAGATTATGACAGTTTCTGCCTACATAAGACTTGCTTCAAAAGAGGAACAGGTCTGTAGCGTTTCTCACCCTGTTAAGTACTCCTTGCCAGAAGTTATTTTTTAATTTTTATAGAGGAGGGTGAACTTCATGCTGGAACTATTTGCTTTTTAATTTCTTCGTTCATTCATTCATTCATTCATTCATTCATTCATTCTTTTTCCCTTTTCCAACTATATAAGTCCTCAGAAATTTTGTTTTTTAAAAGTTTTCCCAAACAGGTTCAAAACCAATACATAGATCTGAAATAAAACTTTGGATTTCTTCAAGTGACTGCTTCTTCTAGTGTTTAAACATGTCAGAAATAACTTGTAGGCAATTGTTACACTAATATTAAAGTTAAAAATATTCTTTCTTACACAAAGAAAAACAATTTGTGAGCGTCCTAAGGCCAAATATTTGAGTGAATTATTTTCTCTTTATTGTGTTGTAAAATTTGTAGGTTTAATGTTTTAGGTTTCATTCATCTATCAAATTTGTCTACCTGAAATAATTGTTTTTGTTAAAATAAATTACTCTGTATTATAGTAGTAATAGTTATTTACTTTATGTTATTTCTTACTGATGTTTCTTTAATATTAATTATTATGAGGTTAAATACTCTCTATATACTATTCTGTGGCTTTATCCAGAAAACTAAACAGATTAGACAAGACTATCAAAAGTAAAGGCTTTTGCAAAATATTTGAGCTGTTATGAAGTTCATAATATAATCACTCATTATTAAAGAAAAATGTTTGAACATATATCATACAACATGAGCTTTTTCTTGGTCTATACATTGACAGCAAAGTTACTTTTAGATATAGAATGAAATTATTAAAAGTCTTAAAAGTGCAGAATTTATTGTTTTACATAACTTTCTAGATTTGTTGAGGCATACTTAACAAACCTATCTATCTATATATCTGTGTTTAAAATATGCAATATGATGCTTTGATAAAGCTACTGGACATATCCTTAACCTCTCATAGTTAGATTATGTGTGTATGTTTGAGAGTCATCTTTAGCAAATTTCAGTTACAGAACACAATATTAATTATAGACATCATGTTATACCTTTAATATCCAGAATATTTCATCCCACATACCTGAACCATTGAACTCTCTGGCTAGCATCTCCTTATTTACCACCTCCCAAGCTCTAGCAACTAGTATTCTAGTTTTTACTTCAATGAGATCCACTTTTATAGATTCCCTGTGAGATCATGTGGTATTTGTTTTTCTGTGTCTGGCTAATTTTATATAGCTTAATGTCTTGTGGTTTCACCCAATTTTTTGGAAAATGCAAGGTTTCTCTCTTTTTAAGGAAATCTTATTGCATATATATATATATATATATATATATATATATCACATTTTCTTTATCCATTCATCCATCAATGGATACATCTGTTGTTTCCACATCTTGGTGAGTAATGTAGCACTGAACCTTGGGGAACAGATATCTCAACAAAAATTATACTAGCTTTATAAAAATGTGAGTTTTAATCTGTATGTGAAATAAATATTTTTGTTTATTCTCAACCATAAAGTGCTTTAGAGGGAGTTAATTTCAAATAGTTGAATATTATTTTACACCTCAGTGACATTACATTTAAATGTAGAAATACAGTAAGGATGAATACACTAACATTACATACTCTACTGGTGCTTCTGAATAGCATATCTTTAATGTGGCTACTCTTAGCAGTTAAAGGAACTCTGACAGTTAAGTAATCCCTTCACCACTTAAGTACCACAGGATTTTATTATTAAGCACATTGCCTGAAATGGTGTGCTCTTTTTCATTCACACTATAAACAGTTTTGTTAGATTGGTAATCCTACTTGTCAGATTTGTTCACTGTTTGATATTAATCAGTAGGTTTATAAAAGGTGCAGCACTGGACAGAAATGAACAGAAAACATTATAAATAATGTTTCCATAAATCATAGAGAGTCATACATCTCTAACTTGGAGGTGTTCAGAATATTTTGACATTCTGTGGGTGGTTTGATAGCTTGCTACCAACTCCAAAGTAAAACAGTAGAAGCTACTGTCCATTTCTTTACTGACTATTGAGTTGGCTGTTCCAAAATACATTGATTTAAACTTCCTCTGACTTTTTATTTCTGTTTTTAATGGTTAGCTTTTCTAAGACTTCAGTTTTAGAGCAGTTTTAGGACCACAGCAAAATTGAGCAAACGATGCTGAGCTTTTCTACGTCTGGTTTTTCATGTGTATAGCTTCCTGAGTTTCCAACATTCTCCCATCTGAATGATACATTTATTACAATTTGTAAATATACACGGACATATTATTGCCACCCAACGTCCATCATTTAAATTAAGGTATATTGGATGGTACAGCGTCTATGGGATGAGACAAATGTACAATTGCATGTATCCGTCATTACAGTATCACAAAATATTTTCCCTCCTTTAAAAGTCTGCCTGACTTTGCCTATTCATCTCTTGCATTTTTGGAAACCATGATGTTTTTATTGTCATTGTGTACAGTTGCCTTTTTCCAAAATGTCATAAAATTGAATCATACATTTTCAGATTGGTTACTTTCACATAGGTGTGTGTATTTATATTTCGTTCATGTCTTTTTGTGACTTGATAGCTCATTTCTTTTTAGCACCAAATGATAGATATTCTATTGTCTGGATATACAAGTTTATCCATTAACCTATGGAAGGATATCTTGGATGCTTCCAAGTTTTGGAAATTATAAATAAAAATCTTATAAACATTGTGTACATGTTTATTTGTGTGTGTGTGTGTACATAACTTTTCAACTCTTGGGTAACCACCAAGGAGAGTGAGTGAGGGGTCGTATGGTAAAAGTATGTTCAGTTTTTTAAGAAACTGCCAAATTGTCTTACCAAGGTGGCTGAACCATTTTTTCATTATCAGCAGCCTGAGTGGTAATGGCGGCTCTTACTTCACGGCCTCACAGCATTTGGCGTTGTCAGTGTATTGGGATTGTGGTTATTCTGGTAGACATGTCAAAATGCTTTCTTCTTTGATCCCCAGTGAGATACTTCATGGTTATTAATGTTTAGCCATTTAAAACGTATATTTTTCTGGAGTGTGCACAATAAAAACATTGTGAATCATCAAATTGAAATTCATGAAGATTCATAGCACATGCCATATTTTTTATATTTCCCTTTATATTTCAAAAAGCATACAGATATTACTTTACCTAAATATTGCATTGTACAATTAATAATTTTATCCAAAAATATGACTTGTGTCCTTGTTTCTTTAACTTGAAAATATTTAAATTGACTCGGAAGAGATTTTAGTCTTTTTTAGGGGCTGCAGGCTTTGAACACATATATTGGGAGCCATTGTGAGGGACCATTAAATTTATGACTAGTTAGTATAACATTTTAGTAAATGACTATGTTTATAAGGTGTAATTCTTGGGTGAACATAAAGGTTTCCTTGCTCATTTTATGAACAGATTTTCATTTCCTAAATGTATTGATGGCAGAAATGAATATATATTGTTTAAAAGCTATTTGGCCAGAAATTCTGCTTTGATATGGTACTACTTTGGCCAAACTTTATGTCTTTCACTTTATCTTTCTGCTCCTCATGCTTATAGTTTTAAGGAGCTAGCAAATTTTAGACATTTTCCATGTCACATTAATATTTCTCATTTGGTCAGGAATACAGTTCTGTTTCAAATTCTTCTCTTCACTCTCTGTATCCGTTGGCTCTTAAATCTTGACATTTTTCCTTCCAGATGAAACTTTGCTGTAGAAGCATTTGTGACATGTCAACAATTTCTAGAGAGCACGAGAGAGTCCACAGGGACAAGGAGAAAAGCAAGATAAGAAATATTTTTGTCCTTTCCAAACAGGGTGAGTAAATAGTCTTGAATCTACAGAAGAACTGCATTCCTTTTAATCCACTGTTTAATGTTCATTATGTTTCCTAAATCACCAGCACATATGTAAGAATGACAAGTAGCTTTTCAGCTAATGTTATTAACCCTTCACTATCTAGTGGCTAAGAGCTGAAGAGTCCTTAACAAATGTGCTTTATATTGCATTTTCTTTGGTTTTTCTCTGTTACTCATAATGATGCTTACTCATAACAATGAAATCAAGCAACAGGTACTTCAGAATCGATGCAGCTATGGTACTTGCAGGAAAATGTAAACTCAGAGATTGGGAAGCTTGCACAGCAAAGTGCATTTAGACTCTGGCAGCAGAATATACTGTCACATACACTGTGGTGATCCTCATCCGCTTGACCAGCTCTGCGTCAGACAGCCTGGCTTCTGGTCACATATCTACCATTACCTATATGACCTCTATAAGTCCTCAAACCCTCCGGGCCTCAATTTACTACTTAGAACTAGTTACACTTCATGGTTTGTCAAATATCTCCCTTTTATAATAGCTATGAAGGCACTGAATATGATCTGTTTTCTCAGTGGATGCCAATAAAAGGAGATGTTACACAGTGAAATGGGGATGAGGGCAGCAGCTATTTTTTTATTGTAAAACATATTACATATTATGCAAAATGATAGAAAAGGGAATAAAGAAAATAATAAGCCAATTACTTTTTAGTGAACAAATGTTTGGCATTCTAAAGTTTATTTCTGAGTAAAGATTCCACGAATTCTTTTACCCTGTATTCATGATATAAAACTCTTTAGAAGTCTGATAATTTAGTTTTCCTTCTTTTGGGATTTTGTTTAACATCAATGATACTATTGGTATTAAGTTATTGCTGGACATTTTTATTCAAATGTTTAAAAAGTGCACTGAAATATGATCTAGGGTAGACTCATTTTTAGGAGAAAACATTAACACAGAAAAACCATAATCCGGGTATAATGTAGGAATCTAATTAAGACTAATGAGGCAACATTAAATTTAATGTATGATGCATTTTATATGTCTCACTATTAGAGCCGCAGCAAGCTGTTCGTTAGAGTTGATCTTTGGTGACTACACCCCTACAGGCATTCTTCAGCATTCTGGATATGGGACTTGGTGCTGGGTTTACAAAGAGGACAAGACAGAAGCTATGATGAAAAGTAAGGAAAAGTTGGAGTCATCTCATGGTAGATTCGACTGACAATAATTCTAGACATGTTATACTGTGGGAAAGTTTCTCCTACTTTGCAAAGCCTGACTGTTAAATTTAAGAACATCATAAAGAATGACCAAAGAAATTTGTCTCATACAAGAGAGAAACTGGACAGAACAAGTAGCAGAGAGATAATCAAGAAATGATGGTTTCACTGAAATCCTAAAGAGATTTAAGCTTTTTATTGTGTACAGAAATGAAGGAAGTTATGAGAATAAGAGACTTTCATGCTGCATTTTGCACTGTTGATTAGCTAAGTATATATAGGCACAAGAAAGTAGAAATTGGGAGAAAGGAATCTGGAATTAAGAGGTAATCCTCTTCAATAATGTCTACCATAACAATTGTCGACAGCTGATGTTTACTGTGAATTTTGTATATTCTGAGTTCTGATTCTAAATGTTATTTTCTCATTCAGACTTTACAATGATCCCATGAGATAGTCATAATTATTATCCTCACTTCCCCCCAAAAAATCTGAAGCTAAGAAATTGCATAGCTATCAGAGACCAAGCAAAATTAGAATACAGACTTGAATTTTATCGATACTAAGATGGTGGGCTTAATAATGTGAGAAGTTCTGGGCACGGTGGTGCATAACTATAGTCCCAGCACTTGGCAGGTTGAGGCAAGAGAATTTCTGTGAGTTCAAGGGCAGTCTCAGCTACATAGTGAATTGAAAATAAAGACCCTTCACAAACAAACAAACAAAAGAATGTGAGAGGTTCTGTGTTCCTAAAGGTAATATAAAGCCTATTATGTGTTATAAATTGGCACCTGTTTTACTTATTTTAAAATTAAAATTAATATGTGTATTCTAATTTAGTTCTTTAAATAGAAACCCTAAAATTTTCTGAGTTTGGGTTATGTTGCCCAAAAAATGATCTATAAAATTATTATTGTTTCTAGGTGTGGAATATTACTGTTTAAAACAATGACAGTTTGGGCTGGGGATTTAGCTCAGTGGCATAAACATCTTTCTGGCAGGTAAAAAGTCCTGAGTTCAATCTCTGGTACCCCACCTCCAAATGATGACAGTCTGTTCTTGCTAATTATTTAGGTTTACTGACATATGCACTTGTAAAAAAGGTTTCTGAATGTTTGAATTTAGGTTCTTATGGATCTTTCTGGTCCCAAGGAACAAGGATTCAGATTTGTTGTTAGATGGTTCAGATGGAGGACAAACCATATGCATTCATAGAAGACCACAGCTAGAGCTAACTCACTAACCTGACTAATTAAATCTAGTTCAGTATTGTGGGAATTGCAGGGTTGCTGCTCAAAAGAGGGAGGACATGACACTTATTGCTGCTTTTAAACATTCCTCTGTCTCACCTAAGTCCTATATTCTTTTCATTTGACTCAACACAAACACAGAAATCACAGCTCTCAATTACTAAGAAGCAGAGCTACAAGTTAAACACAGGCATGGTGGCCATAGCACCATCTTCTTTAACTCTCACTATCTGTCAACCTGAGTGAGCAACTTTTTTTCAATTAACTTCAAAGCTTTTCCTCTCTATTGCTTTGATAACTATTAACCTGGAACTTATAGTTCATGAAAGACAAACTGAAAAATGTGGTTATCTTACAGGTAAAGAAACTTTTTCAGAAGAAACTAAACATTAGTGGAGTGTAGGTTCAGTTCTCAGTGAAATGCATACATAAGGTATAGACTCCAATGGTTAATGACCCAACGCCATGAGTTATGGCTCAAACATGTACAATTCAACAAAAGATCTTTTCCTTATGACTTCATAGCTATAGGCATTGTGAACTATAGTAACAATGGGGAAAACTCTAAATCAACTGGTTAATTCACTTTCTGCACACTTATGGAAAGCTGGGAAGTTGAATCACTGTTTCAAAAACCTAAATAATTTCTGAGGTATCTGGCAACAATTAGAGGTGGGTCACCTGTCTGTTCTTTTAAATTAGTTTAAAAGATTGTTCAGTGGTCCCAGAAAGAATCTGTAGATGGCATTTGTCTCCTCTCCCCAACCCTTTTTTTGGATTGATGATTTCATTAAAAGCTATTCTCCTATCGTCACTTTGCTTTCTCTGTTTTAATGTGGTCTATGGGGTTCATTAGATCCCTGTGTTAATGGCATCAGCTGGGTTTAGGTTTCACTGCAGCTGAACCTTTCCAGTGCTAATCACTTAGCTAACATATGTCAATATCATGGTACCTAATGATGCCTTCTGCAGGGACTCCTTTATATTTCCATATCTCTCGGCTAAAAGACCAGAGTAGCATTGATTATCGCTGTGAACTGTAGGACAGTGAGAGTAGTGATGGTTTCGTCTCTCGGATAATGGTGTATATATACTCAGCCTTTTTCACTTCTTCTACCTTTTTCTAATTAAAGCAGCTGTCACATGAGGCAAAAATGAGGGACTCACAAGTCCAAAAGAGGAGAGATTTTTGCATTTTGCAGCTCTGTGTGCTCATCCCACATTTTTAGGCCTTGAAGTGGCATAGCTCAGAATAATCTTTGCTTTGTGTTGTATCATTGCTCCCCAGGGACACTGAGTGAGTCCGAGAGTGAGTGGAAAAACATTGCAGAGCTGCGAAAAGGCGGCATACTGCTCTTTGGAATTTTTGGTAGTCTGAGATAATTTTGATCTTTCTATCTTATTTTGGTTTGCTTTGATATCTGAGACCTGAATGAAAGTTACTCCCCAATCTTTCTCTTTTTCCTCTCATGCCATTACAAAGGTAGAATGAGAGTTTGACAGTGAGGGGCTGCTGACTTTGGGGTGTGAGTGGTGGTGGTGGGGAACACGGCAGTGTGGTGGCGGAGAGTAATTTTGCTTCAAGGAGGATACTGCCCAATTTTTTAAACTTAATAGGATTAGTCATGGGAACTATTTTTAGCAGAAGTTCAACTTTATCCATGTATTTTAATGTGGGAAAATTGTGTCCTTTTCCCTCTGCTAATGTTTGATGTATTCCAGCCCTCCTGTGAGTGTGTTTGAGTATCTTAGGGGATCTGGAGTGGAGGAGAACTTCCTCTCAGATTCTCTCTGTTTTCTTTCGTGAAAATGACATTCCAAAGCTGTTTCACTTTCTGACAGGAAATGGACCTGTGCCAAAAATGATTAAAGTCCAAGAAAGCATAACAGTTCCAAAGCTGCAGCCGTTCTTTAGGAGTCCTGAGTTTGACATTTTGTCAAACAAATGTGAAATATTGTTTAATAAATTTGAATAATACAGAGATAGAAAAAAATCATTCTTGGCTTATAGTGGTAGTGGTTTGTACTAAGTATGTAAAAGACTACCTATGTGTAATAAATTGAAATAAATATGTAAATACACTTGTGTAAGGTTTATCCAGCTCATGACTTTGTTCTGCTAATTATGTGTGAGACAAAAGCCTTCTCTAAAAGACATGTAATGTTAAAAGTGGATATATTTCTTTTGTGTTTAAAGGAAATAATTTCTGATTGTGTGTTCTTAACCTACCATAATAGATAACTTTTTATGGTGTAATGCACTTAATAAAGTATAAAGTCACTTATAATAAAACATTTTCATTAAAAAGGGCTAAATGCTAATTTAAAACTTAAGTTAATATCTGGAAAACTAAACTCCAAAAGCTTAGTTTATCTCATGGCCGCCTCAATTATTTAATTAATGCTAGTTTAAAAAAAATTCCATCACAATTATTTACCCCCCAATAAAACCATACAAGTAAAAAAAGCTCTTAATTTAGTAAAAAGTACTACTTTCCCCCAAAATTAATGTGAAAACCTT